GGCTCACCCAGAGCCTGGATGTGGTCATTTGGGTAGGGGATCTGAAGCGATGGACCTTCAGATGGACCTTCAGGTGGTTCTTCCTGCTGTCTTCTGTAGCACCATCATAAAGCACCAAGGTTTGGTGGTTCACTGGTCTTCAGAGCAGGAGCTGAGAAGGTTTAATCTGTCTACATGTACAGACTGTACATCCCAGAGAGGATGTCTGTGCTGCAGTCACTTCTGAGGCTTTGTGGTGAGGCTGTTGCACAGGCAGAACTGACATGTATCTCTGTGTGAGTACATCACTTACATGCTCTTGACTAGCTGGTGGTCTGGTAAGTTTTAGGCTTTTGATTGTCATGTGGGTGAGTTCAGGGCCTGAGGAACTGCTGCTGACTGGTGTAGGGCAATGCACAGAGGTTGTTTCCTACAGCCTTCAAGGGGCTGCTGCCACAATCCAGCAATGTGGCCTTGTGGCTAGGATGTGAGTCCTTGAAGACTTTCCTTCTAGAGAGCTGGTGGCCACTGGTAAGTAGCTCATTTGTGTGTCCTTTGTGCAGGACTTGGGTGTTTGGTTTTGTTTCCTGAACCAGTTAATGTTATGTGTTCCTGCAAAGAAACCTAAAGCTGTAGATCCATCCCTGGAGGTTTTTAAGACAAGACTGGATGTGGCACTTAGTGCCATGGTCTAGTAACCGTGGTAGGATTGGACTTGATAATCTTGGAGGTATCTTCTAACCTGGTTGATTCTATGATCCTTGTAAAGTCTACTTGTGTTATTTTATTTTAGTGTTTTGCCAGACTTGGTTGGCAAGCTGCAAAAGCTGTGTGTAGTGACCAGGGCATTTTCAGCTTGCCCAGAGAGCTGTCCTTGGCAGCACAGAGGGTGCCCACTCAGGCCACCTGCTTGCCCTCAGAGAAGTGGGCTCACCACGGGCTGTGTGTCCAGACATCTCCATGGGGAGCTGCCTGCTTTGAGCACAGTGCTGCAGATGGTGCATGGAAGGCTCAAGGTGCTGCTTCTTGGAAACCTACTTGAATAAACGTCCTGACACTGATTCTCTGCGGTTAACGACCATTTCATTTTTCCAGCCCTTGATTTCAATTGACAATGTGGCTTGCTGGTCCTGGCAGGCAGCCTAAGGCAGCTGTACCTTCTTTTAATAGGATCTCTGACCTCTGCAAAACGACTCATCATTAATATGTCTCTGTAACGGTTTGTTTATTTCAGCTCCTTTCCATGCTTCTCTCTCTAATGGTTTTTATGCTGTTTTTTGCTTAGCTTATCAAGCAGCAGATTCTCTCCCTCCAGTTTAGGAAGGTAAAACGACGTTGCATTAAACTGCTCTGACCAAACACTTTTCTGAATCTGCCTGCACATGATTAACCTGTAATGCTTTGGTATTAACTAATTAATCAGTCGAGAGTCCTGAAGTGATCTAACAGCCTCATCCTGCATGATTGGGTCCCTAATACTTGCTTGAACTGCAGACAGAAAAGTGAATGCTCATTGTAACTCCTGTGTTAAGGTGCAGAAAATATTCTCTTTCTTAGCCAAAGGATGGGTGTTCAGCTACTTCTTGATATTAAAGTGAGACTTCCATACAGAGATAGTAAAAATTGGATCTGCCTGCCCTGAGACTTTCAAAGAAGGAATTTTCTTCCCCCCACCACTGTTATGAAGAGCCTCATTCACTTGGACTCTGCCCTGAAATGTACTTGCACAGCTGTACTTTGCCTTGGGCAAAAAACCTGATTTGGAAATCAGTTGGCATTGCTGGTTAGTTGCAGCAGCAGGTAGAGGAATAACTGTGGAGGGAAAGGCCTTTCCAGAACACCCCCAACAGCTGTGGGATTGCTAACCAAAAAATCAGGGGAAGAAAATCACCATGAAGAGGAATACACTTCTCAAATCTCCCTTTCCAGCAGGCTTTTGTATGGAAATCCCTCTTTAATGTGAAAAGGCTACTGAATTGCCAGGGTTCCTTCCTGGGCTCCAGGGCTTTTTCTGTCCTGCAGATGCAGCTCCAGGAAGGCCTGGAGGAAAAGCACTGGTGCTTTGTGTCGCATCCCTCGAATACTCTGCATTACTGGTTTAGAAAGCCATTGGAATTGGACAAGCCTCTGTGCAGCTGGAGTGAGTCAGCTGAGAGCCCCACAGTGCTGCAGCCTCCAAAGCCCTGTGACCCACACAATGCTTCTTTTGAAAGGTTTCATAGGCCTTCCAGGCTTCCTGCCAAGTGTCCTCCCATTCTTCTGCTCAGCCTGTGGAGCCCCCAGTGTCTGGCCATGCTGCTTTCCTAAACCATTCAGTAGCCTTTGCTGTATTTCACCTGGTTGTGGGATTTGCACTGGATGGACCAGACTTACTCCTGGTGCTGCCTGCTGGTACTGGTGGCATGGTGCTGGGATTAAACTGGGTCCAGAGTGTCACTATGTGTGTGTGCATCACTTGGTTTTTAAGATGCTGATCCAGTTGCTCTCCTGCTGGGGTATGTTCGTTGATGCTTGGGAAGTTCCTTTATGTGGATCTAAAAGGCATTTACTGGTCTGGGACTGGGGATCTGTCTTGAAGGGAACCCCACCAGTAACTGCCTTGGTACTGGATTTTCTGCCTTGCTCTATGGAAATGGGAGTTTTTTCTCCTAGGCCTGGAGTTAGGAAAGGTTTCTTTGGTTTGAATCAGCCCTTTCCTGGCCCTGGAGTTGTGTGAAGAGTTGCTGACCAGGACCAGTCTCCCAGGGAGTATTGATTTCCACAGAGAAGAGTCTGAACTGTGGAATCTGGTTTTATTACCCCATCCCACATGTATGTTTGGATACAGACAGTACTTATAACCCCTCCTTCAGTAGATGAGTCAGATTTGGCAGACAGTGCTTATAACCCTCCTTCAGTAGATGAGTCAGATTTGCAACAGCTTGAGCTGCCCCTCTCCCAACCTTTACCCAGGACAAGGTGCCTGGGAACTGGGTGAGCTCCCACTGCATCCCAGTAGCTGGTTCCTCAGGGATTCATCTCCCTCCATCTCTTACAAACCCATTCTAGCAGGAAGCCAGAGTGAAAATCAAAGCACTGCAGCCTCCAGGTAAGTTTCCAGAGTGGATGGAACAGGCAGTTGTGTGGCAGTTGCTGTGGCTGGAGCAACCCTGACACCTTCAGCCATGCGTGCTTAGTCCCTGTTAGTGCACCTGCCCTTGCTGGTTCATGCTAAATGTGGGTTTTTTTTTGGTTTTTCCTGAACAAGTTTGCTTCCTTAGCAGGTAGAGCATGAGCAGCATCAGCACCAGCATCCTGCCTGTGAGCCAGGGGCTGCTTCTAAGGCCTGGGTCCTCCTCCTGGAGCTCTCACCACGTGCTCCAAGCCCTCCTGCTCATGGTGGGGCTGTCAGGAGTGGGCTGGGGGTTTGTTCCACCCCATGCATGCCTCTAGAAGCTGATCTCTTGTTTAAGGAATGTCTTTCACTGCTGAAAATGATATAAATAGAGCTGCCAGCTACTGGTTCTCTTGCAATATTTGCTGTTTCTCCCAAGATCTTTGCTTCTGAGACTTTGGGGTCTCCCCTCCTAGTGTTTTAATTGCAGAGGGAAAAATGAAATCAGCAGTTTTTCCCTTCCAAGAGCCTCAGAGCATTATCTGAATGAAGACCTGATATGGAATGAAATAATTTCCCTTTATTTAAGAGAGCCTAGGTCCTCTGGGGCCTCCCTTGGTGATGCTTCAGCAGGGCTGGCAGTGCTGCATGGACACAGTGGTTTACTGCTCTCATTGAACAGTGCTGAAATACCTGGAGAGTCCAAGGTCCACTTTTGAGCTTCACAGATTGCACAGTTTGGATAGTTGTGGCTATTTGGGTATCCCAGCACAAGCTTTGAGGTCAGTGCCTGAATCACGGTGCAGGGAGTGCAAGGGCCTTCCTGCAGCAGTGAGGGGTTAAGCAGGGATGGATGTTGCTTTCCCAGCTAATTGCTGAGCTCAGAAAGCTGCCAGCCAGGCTCAGGTGTCCCTCAGCGAGCTCTTCTTAACTCTCAGAGGGCTGCTGTGTCTGGGAGAGGTGTTCAGTTCACACTTGGCCTGAAATGGCTTATGAATTCTTCACAGACAAAGACAAATCCCAGTGACCAGAACAGCTGGAAACACTGACGGTTCAAAACAGGGAATGTGAAGCTGACTTTGTTAGGTCTAGCTCTGAGCCTGCTGCCTAAGCAAAGAGATCTCTTATTGGAACCAAGAACTAAAAAGGTTCTTAGCATTCCTTACCCCAATAGCCATAAGGGCTGAGCCAATGTGTCCCAAATGACACTCCAAATTGACAGTTATCTCAGGAGAGAGAAATCAGGTGACCTGACACTGGACTGGACTCGTGAGCAAGTGTAGGGATGCTGGGAGGGAAGAGGGCACGTGCAGCAAAAACACAGGCTTCTGAGATGAGACAGAAAATGGACCCTTTGATTTTTTTTCTGGTGCTTTGATCTCTAAGAAATGCTTCTTGAATCTTCCAGGAGCACCTTCTGCGCAATCATTTCTCAGCTGACGGAGGAAACACAGCCACTATTTGAAACCACTATCAAATCCCGTTCTGTGTCCGAGGACTCTGATGCTAAATTCACGTGCATAGTGACAGGTAACAGTGTCTTCAGTGAATAACCTGGTCCTGCCTCACCTGCTGGACTTGTGCTGGCTAAACTCTACAGCAAGTGATAACAAGGATAACAAACCCACTGTTGTCAGGCTGCCAAGCAGAGATTTGGTGACTGCATGATGATTTTAGCTTTAATTTAGGGGAGGGGGGAAACACCTGAGAGTGTAAAGAGGCAAAGGTGTAAGCTAACATCTCCAACAAGGCAAATAACAGTCCAGAAAGTGGAGTATGCTGGTTACTGCTTGGGCCAGCTACATTTAATTGTCCTAATCTCTGCTTCTTCTCTAGTCTTGGACTCCATAACTCAGGGATGTGCAGTTTTGAAGACTAAGGCTATTATACTGGAGCCAACTCTGCTGGCTGTAGATGGGCAGAGAGCAGCTGCATTTGCATCAGCAATAAACTTGTGTGTTTGTCCACATCTCAAATAAATGCTGGTTTCTGCCTATGGAGCTAAACTCTCCCCTTAGGCAGGAGGGGGTTAAACCAAAACGAGAAGGAGGAACAAGGGGAGCTGGTGTCAAGGCACTGGGCAGTGCACTGCTGTAGAGGCAAGCAGGTCCTTTGCTGATGAGCTTTTGTCCTCTAAACGCTCTTCTCTCCATGATATGTACCTGTTTAACAGCTCTGTGACCCTTCCTGACCTCAGTCATGTTAATTATTCTGCCATGTTACTCAGTAGGAGACATTAAACAAGTTTGTACACTTTGGAAGGAGAAGGGTATGTCCAAGGATCCTCTTAGGTACAAGGACCGAGGTAACTAAGGAAATCTAGTTACTAGAAATAAGCTGTGCACCAGGATGGCAGGCTGAGCCCTGAGAGCTGCCAGCTTTGAGTTCTTGGCTCTTCTTTTATGGATTCCCTTGTTCTGCAGCTCTGACTTGGTGAACTTCAGGGGTACAACAGACACACTGATGTTTTTTGAGGCTTCAGCAGATCCCTTCCTGCTGCTCCTAGGGCCAGAGTGGGCTGCTGGGGAGATGCCTCCAAACTGTGCTGTTCAGGGATTCATTAGAAGGGCTTTTCCCATTTAAAGGTTTTTGGAAGCAGAATCTTGACCTGTTGTGCAGTACCATGGAACTCGCTGTTCTGCAAGTGTCAGAGGTCAGGGATTGTTTGGGTATGTTGGGAAATCTAGAGTGACAGTCCTGGCTTCTCTCACTGGCTAAATCTTCACCAGCTGCACCTTGAGGCTGATAAACTCCATCTCTTCCTGGTGTGTTCCAATAGGTGGAAAACTTGACCTGATACTGACCTCATTTTCTAGTCAGTTGAAGGAAATGATCAGTAAGTCTCTTCAGCATGTATCATGATACTTTTGTACCTGGTAAGCTAGATTGGGGGATGTCTTTATGGCTTTAATTAGGGAACCTACAAAATCAAGAATTTTCATGCGAATGCCCTTAAAATCAGCCTAGACCACCTACAGCATATGGGCATGTCCTGCTTGTGATCCCTTGGACTGATTTAGGAACTCGAGGTCTCTTTGGGAAAGAGAGGCAAGAGGTGGAAAATAAACTCTGAGTGCAGAGTCTGGTCAGCAGTTGAGGTATCTCACCCTGCCATGATGTTTGGCTCCAACTGGGAGACATTGTTGGGAGAAAGGAAGTGGTGGTGGCATCCCTGGCCAGTGACCAGCATGACACCAGTTCAGTCCCACCACTGTGGCTGCAGTCCAGGGACACTGTGGTGGAGGCAAAGGTCAGACAGTCAGCTGCTCCTGTTTTGATGCTCAAGCCACAAATATGGATACATGACCTACAGTAACACCTTAGTATGTTTTTGCTGCTTCTTGACCAATACTGAGAGTTGCAGGCCAATCCCACATCTGGAAATACTTGGAGTAGAACTTGCTGGGCATGTCCTAGGAAGGCAGCAAATGCAAGTCTCCAAAATATGCTGAGTGGTGCAGGCAAGGAGAGAGCAAGTCAGGCAGAGGCAGATTCCTGATGCTCTTGGGTGGTGGCATAAACCCTCCTTTCCTCCTGTTGCCTTATTCTGCCTGCTGCTGGTGTCCTTGCTCTGTCTGATTTGATTGTTTTGGGTCAAACCCTGCATTAGTTATGACATGTTTTCTTTTTTTAGACAAAACTGGTTCATCCTTTGTTCTCCGAGAGGTGTGAAAAGAGAACAAGAACATTTCCATTTACTGTGCAGTTTTACCCTGTGTCTCTGTGTTTTCCTTGGTGGGTCTGTCTGGGCTTTGGGACCTCAAGGGTAATCACAGATCCTTCCCAGGGAGTAGATATTGGGCTTCTCTCTTTAGAGTGGCCTTTGGTGGAGGTGCTGCTACAAGGATTTTGCAGCTTTCCAGCCGTTGTTGGCTGGGAAGGAGAGGTGTCAGCTGATGAAATGGGGTGGGAGCTTGGATGAAGGGGCCTGGATCTAGCCAAGACCACTGCATGTCAGCACCACAGTTGTGCAGCTGCCTCTGCAGTGTTGTTTCAACCCTCCTTAGGCAAGTTCAACCCCTCTGTCCTGGCTTCCTAAATTATCAGCTCAGGAGCTTGGTCCCAACACTGCCTCTGTGGTTTTATTGCAGTGTACAGAGGGGAAAGGGATTTTTCTCTGCCCATGGCTTGGGGAAGAGACTTGTGGTAAGGTGAGTAGACAGTGGCATGCTTAGTGGATTTTAATAAGGATAAAGGAGTTCAACTTGTTGCATCCATGGTGGCCCTCTGAGGAAAGTGTTTGGTGGATGGAAGTGCTTGGGTGAAGGAGCCTGAAGAAATGCAGGTGCTATGAGAGGGGTTCAGGCATGAGGTAGTGAGTACAAGAGAGGAGACTAGGCTGCTGGAAGATGAGGGGGTTTGGGTTTGGGGCAGCCAGGATGAAGGAAGGATGGAGAATGAGTGCTGCTTGCAGGCTGGCAGCATGGGAAGCTGCTGCTTATAGTAACTGCCCCTCCTGTCATTGCTGGAAGCCTCCTTGTCTCAGGGTGATGGAGAGGTTTAAATCCATGGAGCCAGAAAGGATGAGATCTTACTCCCCAAACCGCCTGAAGCCCCCACTCCATGCAGCTTGTGTGAAGCAGAAACAGAAAGCTCAGGAGATTGGGTAGTGGTGTAAACTCTTATCACCTTCCCAAGTTTCAGAAGACTCACACCTTCCCCTTCCCTGCCCCAAAACAATCAAAAGAAAGGAGAGTTACTTTCAGCAGTTTCTCCCAGGGATCCTGAATAGATATTTTAAAAACTGTTTTGGATAAGGTCACCAAAGCTTTGAAGACTTCTCAGACTCGAACAGCTTTCACAAAGAGAATGTTTGATCTAAACCTGGCAATCTCCACGAAAAAAACCCACAACTTTGCACAGGAAAGTCATCCGGATCATCATGCTGGAGCAATGCTGCTGGAAAACACACTTCCCAAAAAGCTTTGTGGGACCAAAGATGTGCAGCTCCTCCCGGGAGTGCCCGGCACCGCTCTGTCTGCAGCTGTGGGGCTCTCCCAGGGGGCTGGAGGGACCAGCTGCTGGCAAATCCCTCAGCACCAGCTGCACAGGGCTCTGCAGCAGTGACAGGCTTTGGAAGGATGAGTGCTGATTTTTGAGTGGCTGCTCAGGGGTTCTCCTGCTAAGGGTGGGCATCTGGTGCCCTGCAGCGTGGCACTGCCCATCCATGAAGTCCTTGGTTCCTCCCTGTCCCACCTGCAGCCTGACAAGCTGTGGATGCCGTGACTGCAGGGGATGTGCTGGGACTGATGCCTGCCCCCTCTTCCCGGCCAGACTAGGGGAATTTATTCACTCAGCAGCCCAAAGATGCCTGCAGAGTCAGCAGCAGCTCCTCTCCCCGTGCCAGGGAGCCTCATCCCGGCACAGGCATCTCTCCATCCCCTGCTTGGCTCTGGTTACAAGCCCCTGGGGAGGGATGGATGGTGTTTGCATAGACAGCTGGGGCCACTGTCCCTGCGTGGGAGGTGGGAAGCCTTTCAGCATCCCTCTGCCTGCAGGTTTCCAGCCAGCACTTTCCTGCAGCTTCCTTTGGAGCAGGGGCTAGTCCCTCCCTCCCTGGTCTGGCACAGCGGTAGCTCCTCGTAGGGAGCAGGTAGCCTCAAGGACACAAGTGCTACAGGTCAGAGGGAGTTTAGGCTTAGCAGAAGGAAAAGCCTTTCCTCGAGGCACTGCAGAGCTATGGAAATCGCAGCTCTTTCCGGCAGATGTCAGCTGGGATGGAAATCAGCTGTGGAGGCCACAGGGGGACATGACAAGGCTTCTCGGAAATGATACACTGGCAGTTCCTGGAATGAAGGGCTGGGATTGCTGTTCACAGGGTATTAGGAAAATCTACCTGCCAGCTCCCTGCAGGATGGGCCGTGGGGACCTCCCAACCGCCTGCAGAACAGCCCTTGGGAAGGGTCGGATAGCTCTGGGCAAAGTGTGAGCTGTGCATGGAAATTGTTTTGTTCCTTATCCCTGGAGCAGAAAGAATCCAGCACAGGCTTGTTCAGCCCAGGGTCCTGCTGCCAAGTACAGCCAGTAGCTCATATGTTACAGAAAATACAAGCAACAGTGTCAATCCTTGATGATCCCATCACCAGGATATTCTCATGGCTTTCTCCAGTTCCTGGTTTAAGGCTCATTTGCTTCAGCCACAAGCACCTGAGGAATTTGCATGTGTCTAGAAACTGGTTTGGGGGGTCAGAGCAGCAGCAAGGAGCAGGTTGTGGGGAGAGGGGGCTGGAAGAGGAGAATAGAGAGCCTTTCAGGAAGGATTTTGGATGAAAGCCATGACTTGGCTTCCTACAGAAGAGGAAGAAGAAGGCAACACCTAATGGAAAGCCAAAGCTGCCAATGGCAGCAGTGGGAGAGGAATGTGGCAGCAAAGGATGGGAGCAAGGTGGGGAGAGAGGGATGCTAGGGCAGTTCAGGGTAAGAGACCTCGGTGAGGGAGGAATATAACAGTAAAATCTGGTCTGTGGGGGTGTATGTGCTATGGGCATCACTGCTGCTCCTGGAGGACAGCAGGAAAGGAAAGCCCTTCTGAGAGTATTTCCCCAGCCCTGTCTGGTTCTAGTGGGCTAAATCCCTTGAGGGGCTAGAGGAGATGGGGAAGCCTCTGCAACAAGGACAGGGAGTGTACGAGAAGAGCAGACTGGGGAGGGGGGACCAAGTAGTACATGAGGAGGAGATTTGGCACATGCTTCTTTCCTGGCCACAGGCATTTTGGACCAGGGTGCTCACTGGGAGCAGCAGTAAGCTGGGCTCAGGCATTGCTATGGGCTGCCAACATCTCTGGCTGGTGCAAGGAGGAGACTCAGGGCTTGGTCAGCCTTGAAACCTGTGGGTTGGCAACTGGAAAGTATCCAGAATAGGTAGGGAATGCCCTGTCCGTGCCCTTTCTCTACTTCAGAGCCATCGACTCTGAACACTTTGTGATATTCCTGGAGAGCCCTCGTTGGCCCCATTCCAGGGATGTCCATGGAAGCTGACTCCCTGTGTCATTCTGGGGTGCTGGGGCTGGTGGGGTGAGCCTTGGGGACTGGTGGAGGTGAGCAGTGTGCCGGACTCCTTCCCTTTGGCAGCATGGAAAACCAGCAGAGACATTTGCAGAAGATAATCTTCACACGTCTGCCTTGGGGCTTTTAGCAACTGCTGAACATATCAACTATAGCTGAGGCATGACGTGATCACTGAAACTTCCATCCCGTGCTCTGGGGGGTCAGTTTGGCTGTGCTGGGAACCTGAATGAAGTGCAGGACCTAGTGCTGGCCACTGGCTTGAGAAGCTCTTGCATGAAAATGGGTCTTTTTTCTGAGCAAGAGCTGCTGCCGGTGAGCAATGGGGGCTGTGGCTAGCGGTGGTCCATGTGGGACTCTGTACTGCTCCACCACCACTGTCAGTGGTGGGGAATGTGGCTGTGTGCCCGACCTGCTAGCTAGCCAGTCACACACATCATGATGTCATTCTACTGAAAAGGCAGGTGACATCTGTTGTCAAGTGACATTTGTAGGACACTGAGCTGGCTGTGATGCAATCAAGGTTGTTTCTGTTCAATGGAAAGTTTCAGATCAGCTTACAGGCTATGACACTGTGCGAAATGCTGAGAGCTCCATGGAGGGGCAAGTGCCTGTTCTCCAACCATAGCCTTAGTTTCATCAAAACATCCCTCTTCACATAAAAGTGATGGTATGCTCACCTTCTGCTCCCAGCCAGTGTCACAGGAGACGAGCGTGTGATCCACTCGCCTCTCTTCAGGAATGAAGTGCTGGGATTTTTTCCTCAAAAATAGCCCTATTCCTAGGAGTGATAAAAGTCTGAGATAAGCCTGTCAAGTTTCCACTGTTTCTGCTGTGTGATTTAGGAATGTGGTGAGCCCAGAATAGCACCTGTCCTGGTCTGCGGAGCGTTTTGTTTTGCTGCTGATACCAGGCTGGCTGTGCTCCTGGCTGGAATGTTTCACACTCTGATGTGCCCTCCGTCTCCTCCCCAGGGTATCCGCAGCCGGAGGTGACGTGGTACAAGGATGATGAGGAGATGGATCGTTACTGTGGCTTACCCAAGTACGAGATATTCCGTCATGGAAATCGTCACACCCTGCAGCTGTATAAGTGAGTAAAGCAGCTGAAAAGTGGCTGGATTTGGGGATGGGAGCTCTGAGTGTGTTCTCAGCAGCTGGAGGAGCTGGCTGTCAGCAGGGATGTCCCTCCTGCACTTGTCTTGGCTCCTTCTGCTCCCCACTGCGAGTTCCTGGCTGTCCCTTCCCCTCCAGCTCATCACTGTGGTGACTCCCTGATCATACCACTATGGGATCTATTATTGCATCCTGGAAACAAGAGGAAGGTCAGGAGAAATCTCTCTCTGGAGCCTTCCAGTGCTGAACATTAGATTTGGATGAAGGTGAGCACAGGGAAAGCATTGTCTGCCTCCAGGATGATGGTCCAGGACGGCAGGACAAGGACAGAAACAGTTCATAGGAGTGTCCTAAGCAGGGAAAGGACTTCAGCCTTGTCCCAGGATGGCCTTGCCTAGCTGTCCCCATGGAAAGGGCTGCTTGGCACTGACTAATAGAGCCAAGGGCTTCCTTGATTCAGTCCTGACTACCACCTGCTTTTAAATTCCAATGTGAACTGGTGATTCTGGAGAGTCAGGCGCACCATGTCCCCAGTAGGCAGAGACCTGTCACATCTCGAGTCCTGGGTTTGGGATGTCACTGACTGAAAATGCAAAATACCAGTGTTGCTGATAGTCCTGTCATCCTCGTGCTTCTAGCCTGGGCTCTTCTGCTGCCCCAGGTGTGCTACAGGTTTCTCCTGCAGGAATAGGGATCTCCGTGGGGCAGGTGTCCCTGAGGAGTAACAGCAGGGATGGCACACATGTGCCTGTGCTGGTGCTGTGACGTGGGGTGGGAAGGTTTTGATAAGGCAGCAGGGTGGAGGAAGAACAGGAATGTCATGTAGGCTGTGAAGAGCTAAGAGGAGAAGATCCTGCAGAGAAATGTGGCCAAGAACAGCTGGGAAGCCTGGTGCTGCCTGTTCCTCCTCCATCACAGCCCTCTCCTACCAGAGCTACAGCCCAGGGGGGAGTGAGCACTGATTTATCATCCAAATTCCTTGCCTGCTAGTGCTGAGAGCGGGCAGAGCTGGGGAGGGAGGCCAGCCCAGGCCTCCAGACCTCCTGCAGGCACCTCATGGGCCATGTCATCACTTTGTGGCCTCTCTGGAGCAAGAAGTGTGAGAGGTGCATGCCTGTGTGCCCAGAGGTGGTGCCTGGGGAGGATGGGTAGGTCTCATGCACAGCTTTTGGTTTCCAGGTGCCGAGAAGAAGACGCAGGCATTTACCAGGCCTCAGCTAGAAATACCAAAGGCATTGTGTCCTGCTCCGGCGTGCTGGAAGTGGGAACCATGACGGAGTTCAAAATCCATCAGAAGTGGTTTGACAAAATCAAGAGAAAAGCAGAAGAAAAACTTCAAGAGATAGATCAGGGCAAGAAACGAGGGAAAGAAAATGTGGAGGTGGAGAAGTTGCAAGGAATGAGCCCCGAAAGGCTTCAAAGGAAGCGGAGGTTGGCCAGGGATCAGAATGTCCAGTCGGGAGACTCTTCATGGGAGAAGGAAGAGGCAGCAAAAGTGCATGTTGCTGATAATGAGTCCAGATTGCACGAGGATATCAGTGAGCAGAAGGAGCAGCCAGTCAGTGCAGTGACAGGCTTTTCAAACAGCCTGGTAGCACCTCTGAAAGCAGAGGTGACCACCAATGGAGATGCCACTTTGGAAAGTGGGGAGGAGAATGGGAACAGCTTTCTCACGTACATCTACGAGACAGTGGAGGACCTGGCAACTAAGCCTGGGACAAAAGACTCTGCAGCTAAAAAGAAAAAGAAGGTGGAGGCTCCTCCAGCAGCACCACAGGAAGTTTCCAAGCGAGAGGAAAGTGGACGAGACAGGCCCAATCCTTCCTCAAACCCCAGGTTTGCTCCTCCTGTTCCCTTACGCAGGAACGCACGTCTGAGGGCGGCGAACGAGCAAGAAGTGGAAACCAGTCCAAAACTCAAAGAGCCTGAGAAAGCTGTGAACCAGGACACTAAAAGCAATGATGATGTGTACTTCTCTTTAAAGGACATGTATTTTGATAAGCAAGTGAAGCCAACAGCGGGGAAGGATGAGGTGGGACCCAAGGATGAGGCTGGGAGAGAGGCTGCTGCCAGCAGGCAGACACAGGATGCTCCTTTGTCCTCCAAGGTGTCAGAGACAGGACCTGTGAGGTCCGAGGGACAGAGAGGCCACCACCAAGCCCAGAAGTCGGAGGGAAACAAAGAGGTAACTAGGAGAGAGAGCAGCCAATGCAGGGTTGGCAACAAGAACATAGCTGGTATTGCAGCACCAGCCCTGGGAGGCTGGTGGACGGGATCTGTTGCTGAGGCTCTGCAGGTCTCCACTGGTGAAAACACCAAGGAAAAGGGTTTTCTGGACTTTGTGTGCCCAGGCAGCAGCACTTCCACCCCATCTCCAAGCAAATGTCAGCTGAGGTGGTGAGAGATGCTAGCCAGGGCCATCCGGCCGAGCAGCTGGTCCCGGTGGTGCTGTGAGCTCTCCGCTTTTATCGGCAGCCTGACCTCATCGAAATGTCTTCAGACCACTTCAGCAGGGAGCACTGAATGGCTATTTGTGGCTGGGGGTGGGGGCCCTGTGCGTAGACAGGCTTGATTGGCATCTGTTCAGTTCCAGCAGGAGCTGCAGCCCTTAATGAGCCCCCATGCAAATGAGCGCAGTGTGCCATGTGAGCCGCAGGGTCTGGAGGTTTGTTTACAGTGCAACGTGTATACAGTAGGTCTGGGCTACTTTTTTGGCTCTTCCCTGTTGGAAAGACTCTGTTGGGAGACTCATTGTGGTGGTGATGCAGAGCCAGGGCACAGCACCTGCTCCTGACCCTCAGCGCATCTTTTAGTCAACTTCTATTTTTGGCACTTAACCTGAAGTATTTTCCATGAAAATATTAGACTGGAAGCTACCAGACTATTTTTTCCCCCTTTTTTTCCTTTAATGACCCCTTCTGTGGTAAAAGATTCTCTGAGTCAGTTTGCAGGTGCTGTCAGGATTTGGAGTTTGGGCTATGGTAGGGACATACTTTTGGTGCAGACAAGGCTATGCACTAGGTGATGCACATAGCTCAGGATGTGGATATAGCCACGATACAGAAAGTGGGACTGTGTGTGCTCCAGTGGGAAAAAAAATCCTTTCTTCCTCTATTAGATTTCCTTAGCCATAGGTAGGAGCAGCTTTGCTGGTAAGAACCTGCTCTGTTAGTTCTGGCCTGGCCAAAGTGCAGCACCTTGAGCTCATCTCCAGCCTGACACCAGCATCACACATTGCTGCAGGAATTACTGCTGTGCAGGTCACCCTGTGGCAAAGCCGTTTGTTTTCCCCCTCTCTGCTCTTAAAAGAGGGTGGAAAATGTTGGTGTGCAGCAGCCAGGCTTGGGCTGTCATCTCTGAGCCTTTGACATGCATCAAGGTATTTTCCTCTTCAAAAAGCCACTCACAGAGGGAATCCGGTGACTTGTCAGCTGGTGTGCTTTTGAGGAGACAAAAGGGAATGCTTCTGATTTGAATTTGAATGCTTCAGTTCGGTGGTGCTGCTGGGGGAAAGTGCTCAAGCTTTTGTGAAGCCAAATAAGCTGTTTTAAAACCCTTTAAATCCGACTCCAGGCGTGTTTGAGGATATTTTCACTCCCCAGGACACGGGTTGCTTGTCTTTTTCTTTTTTTGTTCTTTCCCTTAAACAAGACAGGGTCGTCACATTAAGTGTTTTCATGGCCCTGGGACCTAGCAGGGCCTCATGCTCACTACTTCCCTTTTGAAATGGATTTATCTGCAGCAAAATGTCAGTGCATAGCTAGGCTCTGAACATCCTCCTGCACAAGAGCAGAGAAGAAAGTGGATTTGCTTGCTGATCCCTCTTGCCTAAATGTTAAACGGATGCTTTTATTCTATTTTCTTCTATGTGGCCCCAGTTTTGAGTGATTTGCAATTACTTGAGGCCAGATGCTTTGCTGAAAAACTCCCAGAAAGCTTTTTAGACGGAGCTTTAGTTCATGTGCTGGTGATAAGCAAATTTTCCCCAAGTCCTATTGAGCCAGAGAGATTTCCCCATTGAGCAGCACCATTGTGTAGAGCCACTGCTGTGCATCCACCTGTGAACCACCAGCCCTGGCCCACCTCGAGCATCCCTGGGCACTGAGAGGAGGGACCAGGGCTGGCCCCACGTTTGGGTTAGGCTGTGTCCATCCCCAATCCCTCTCCGTGTGCCCCATCCCTGGAAGTGTTCCAGGCCAGGTTGGATGGGACTTGGAGCAACCTAGTCTTGGTGCAAGATCTCCCTGCCCATGGCAGGGGGTTGGATTAGATCTTTGAAGATCCTTCCCAGCATAAACCATTCTGGGATTCTCTGAATTGCTTGGGGAAGGGCTTGCCAAGAGACTGGCAATACCTTTCCTCTTTTTCCCAAGCTGCTTTTCCCAAAGCAGCACGAAATGGAAGGTCTAAGTGCCACAGTCCTCCTTTCCCATGGCCTTCATTTGGGAGGCTTAAAGCTCAAATCAGACACCTCAGGAGGAAATCCTTAGCAGTGTGGATGCTTCCAGGATGGAAGGGGCTGTGTGTGTGTTGTGTGTGTGCCCTGTCCCCCTGGTGTTGCTTGTGGAGCATCAGATGGGCAGAGTATGTATCAGCGGTACCACTGCCTCCCCCACAAAAATAGATGGTGCCCCTTGGCTGGGGGATTTCAGCAGATCTCCTTGGGATAAAGCACAGCCATCAGAGCAGGCATTACTTGCTGACACGTCTGCTGGTGTGCAGCTGTGGTTTGAGCTTCCCCAATGTCAGAGAAGCAGAATGGTTTGATCGTGCTGATAACGTCACGGTGTACAGTTTCACTATAAATCATTTGGGCAGCCTCAGTCTAGATAGTGTGTGACATGCTGATCACCCCATCTCAGGGTGGGGATAGGGGAGCACCGAGTCTTTAAAAACAGCAAGGGAATTATACAAGGTCTTGGCAACAGCTGGTGAAGATGGGAAAGTTTTGCTCCTTGGGAAGGTGCCAAGTCAGAGGAAATTGGATTAAAAGCCACTGAATGGTTTAGAGGGGCAGATCATCTGCCTCTTTGTGTACAGTAAAGGTGTTGAAAGGCAGAAGAGTTGGAGGTGATTAAAGGAAAAAACATTTTGTGCAACCTGACTGGTAAAACCCACTCGCGTGGGATGGTGACAAAGCCAGGAGACCTTGGGTGAGTGAGAGCCAGTACTATCAGGCTAATACTGATGATTAAACAGGAGCTGGGCTATACCATGGGGGACAGTTGGACCACCAGCATGACTCAGCAGACCCAGGCAGTAAAATGAAGCTAATTTTCCATCTTTGTTTTTTACTAGGTTGCAGCAACAGTGGGACAGTCTGCTAGTGACCTAAAACATCCGGTGTCCAGTCCCATCACAGAGACTGGGCAGCAAACCAGTAAGTTAGAGGAAGTCAGGAAAGAGGTGCCTGTCTGCCAGGAGACCAAGGGGGTTGTGAAAAGGACAAATCCTCGGCTGAGGCCTCGAGAGCCACCAAAGCCACCAGCACCTCCTCCAGACCATGAACAATCCGGCAAGGAACACCCACTCCCCGGGAAACAGGCAGAAGGACATTCCCGTGCTCTTGAGGGCAGAGAGACTCAGCAAGGACTGTTAAATCAACAGGGCAAAAGTCAAGGTGGGGAAGAGACATTGCTAAAAAATGTGAGTCCTCCAGAACGTGAAGAAAATGCTCCTCTTGAGCATATCCCACAGCAGACAGTAAAGGATGGGAAGAGCAAAGAGGCAGAAGCAGAGCTGTCTGGGAACCACCCTGGTGTGGGTAGAGGAGGGAGAGGTGCAGCAGAGCCACGTCCTGGGGCTGCACACAGAGAGGCAGGAGGGACCTCTTTGGGACATCAGGACACTGGAACAGCAGCTCCTGCTTCAGTTCCACTTGTCAAGGAAACGCTGCTCCCTGCTCCTGCAGCAGGGGTGTCAGTGGCTCAGGAGGCACTGCTGGCAGCTCACAGCACCCCAGGGATGGAGGCTACAGCAGGAGAGGTCCCATCTGCAGCCCAGCTGCTGCCTCCTGTGAGTGGAAAAATGGAAATCACAAAGACAGCTGAATCTACCCCCCGAGAGACGTTCTCAGCCGGCACGTTAGGGGAGGAGAACACCAAACCAGTGCCCGTGGGACCTCAGGGGAAGGGAGCAGGAGAGCAGACAGCCACAGCTCCTCACCAGGAAACAGCAACACCTTCAGGGACTTTTGAAGGAGGTGCTGAGGTTCAGCCACAGGTACCACAGGTTCTGCCTGGCCCTGAGAGACCTCAGGAGATGTCTTTGGAGGAGAAAATGCAGCACAAAAACCTGGTTTCCTCCTTAAAGAACTACCTGCTTCTACTTCTGAAAATGTCAGATAGCAGTAAGGATGCCATGAAAGAAGACACTGTCCCTGAGGACAAGGAGCAGCCAGATGCAGGGCAAGGCATGGTCCCAGAGATAGGCATTGCTGGCCTGAGCCCTCGCACCTCGAGGAGAGTTTTGGAAAAGGTACAAAACAACCAGCTCTTCCAGACAGCAGAGAACTTGCCTCTGACCCCCAGGACATCCAGGAGGATCACAGGCATGATCAACGAGGAGTTTGTTACCAGCAAGGAGATGCTGGCTTGCAGGCCTGAGCCCCCAAGGAGACGCACCTGGGTGGCTCCCGAGGCGGAGGGGCCGTCCCAGCTCTCCGTGCCCTCCATCGTGGTGGGCAGTGTACCAGCAGCAGCAGTGGGGCAGCCTCCTAATCCTCCTGATGTGCCTCCAGTGAGCTCTGAAGGGAGCCCTGGTGACTCTCTGGCAGTGCTGCCTTGTGCCACACCAGAAGAGCTTGCTTTGGGAGCCCGGCGCAAAATATACCTGCCAAAACCCAAACAGGGAGGGGGGGAAGAGGAGGCAACACCAGAGAACCCAGGGCACGTGAGAAGTCCAACTGTTTCGCCACGGCAATCCAGGAAGAACGTGTCCCTCTTGCATTCTCCTGCCCTGGCTCCATCCTCTCCCACACAGCAGTACTCTCCCACCCTCACGAGGAAGATGGCCACGTTGGAGGTTCCCAAGCTGTATGAGGAGCCCTCAGGTGACAGCAGTGGTGACCACGAGGTCTCTGGAGATGCTAAGCCAGAAGCACAGCCAGCAGAGTCCCAGAAAGAAAATAACCCATTTAAAGGTGAGGGAAGAGGTAATCCTCATGAAATGTGTTCCCTTCTTGTCTACAAAGGGAGTCAGTGGTAGTCAGCTGGGGCCATGCCAGTTTTGTGCGTTTGCAGGGTTTTCAGCCTCACCCTTTGGCTGTGTGAAAGCCAAAAGTCTCCTTCAAGACTTCTGCCCCAGTGCAGGGAGAGTGGAGGAATGCAAGAGTCAGCAGCACTGAGACTGGCTGTCTCCACAGCCTGGACTTCCCTGGCCCAAGGAGTTGTAGAATCCTCTTGCTGCTGATCTCTGTGTCATGGTCCTCACCAAGCCTCATGTGGGTTGGGGATTCTGAGCAACCTGGTCCAGTGGAAAGTGTTCCTGCTCATAGAAAAAGGGGTGGAATGAGATGGTCTTAAGGTCCCTTCCAGCCCAAACCATGACTCTGTGAGTCAGTGGGCATCAGTGCGGTGCACAGTGCTCTTTCACATCCATGGTCAATGCTAATTTGGTCCCTCATGGCATTGGATTAGGAAAGGCATAGTCCTGAGGCTGAAGGAGCAAGGTAATGCCCTCACAGGAATCAGCACTCTTGCAAAGCAAGGGTAACCTTGATAAATCCCTGCCTCAGCAGATGAATGTTTCCTCCAACATTCCCCAGTGTTTCCTGCATTCCCTCTGGCCAAACCCCACTGGGTATTGCAGTGCTGCACTGTTGAATGAATTTGTACCCCTTGTATCCCAACTTATTTGTCCAAGTGGAGCACTGAGACCTTCCCTGGGAAGGCAGTGTTATCCCAGGGAGGTTCTGACATATGTGATACCCAACACCAAAGCCTTGAGCAGCAGCATCGGGGCAGGCTGGCCTGTCCCCAGAGCTGCAGCCAGCACTCTGTGTCTCACCATCCCTCTCTTTGCACCCTGTTCTTAGCTCCACAGGTGGTCCGTAAGATCAGGGCAGAACAATTTTCCGATGCATCAGGAAACCTGAAACTTTGGTGCCAGTTCTTCAATATATTGAGTGATTCTAAGCTGATGTGGTACAAGGACGAGGTCCCCGTAGCAGAAGCCCAAAGGAGGTAACCTGCCAGCTCCATGTCATTGTAGTCCTTATGTGTAGCCTGCTAAATCCAGCTCCTTGCCTTGAGTGGGGTGAAGGTGTCTCTCCACTTAGGGCTTTATGGGAAGCTCAATGCATGGCATGGTATGCTGTGAGCTTCAGCTTAGTGCCCATGGAGGGATGGATTGCCCAGATGGTGAATTACTGCTGAATTTGTCCTATTGATGTTCCATCTGGAGTCTTTGCTTTGAGTGCCCAAACCTTGGGGTGGGCAGGAAAGATGCTGTGCCCATTACAGAGCTTGAGAGCTGGGTGTGAGCTGCAAAACTGGGACCCCAAGTGATCCATGTGAAGGAGGTGCTAGGAGGGTCTTCCATGCAACCACCACTGGGGAAAAAGCAGCTCAGGCTATGCCCTCTCTATCCCTTGGCACTGCCCTTGTGCAGGGATAGCATATGTGGACAGCTGTGTGGCTGGTTGTACCCTGGATGCTCCTTTGGGTACAACTTGTTCTGAAGCCCAGGGGATTTGTGTGGCAACATCATCCACATTGGTTAGAACTTGCCTGATGCCTCTGAGTGTCCCTTAAGCTCCCTTTATAGTGAGCAGGAAGAAAGAAGTGATTCTGAGGCAGAAATGGATTCCTGTGGCAGATCTTTGAGCTGGGGCAGAGGCACCAACAGTGGCCATTGCCTTGTAGTGGACCAGGGCAGAGCCTGCTCAGCCAATGGGTCTCAGGACGAGGGTCTCACCTCTTCCCTTTGTGAAGCCCACCCAGACACAGGTCTGTTAGCCCAAGCACAGCTCTGGCCCAGCCACTCCCAGCAGAAGATACCTTTACCTAGTCTGTAATCCCGGGCAGGTTTTGCAGGGCTTGCCTGGAGGATGAGCATGCCCATGAGTATGAACCACAGGGTAGAACTCCTGATGCCATGACATGCCAGGGGAGCAGCTGGGATGCCCTTGGTCTGCCTTCCTTTGTAGCCCTCTCCCAGCTCCCCGAGGGCAGCACAGTGCCCACCCACAGTGTCTGTCACGGGGCTCCCATGTGCCCCCACACACCACACGGGGCTGAGGTCACGCTCTAGTTTCTTCCAGCTCTGGTGACGAGGGCCAGGCAGCCCTGGCTATTGTGCAGGCGTCTCGAAAGGACTGCGGCGTCTACCGCTGCACGATCAGCAACGAGCATGGCACTGACACCACCGATTTTCTGCTCAGCCCAGAAGGTGAGGAGCCCTCAGCAGCCTGTCCCAGCTGCTGGCTGTGGTGGGGGAGCCTCATGCACCCTGTGACACCATCTCTGCCTCCATGTGCTGATTGATGAGCAATGCCCACCATCCTGTCTGCCATCCCTAGCTGGGACAGGGTGGGATCGTGGCAGGACCTTGACACCTCTTTGCTTTCTGTCTCCCCTAGTGTTGTCAGGATTAATCTTGCGAGAAGAGGTTGAAGGTAAGGGCCACGTGCTGAGCTGTGACTGCTGCCCCTTGCTGTGCTGGGGCCAGGCAGCTCCATGGTGGGTGCAGAATGTGCCCACGTTGTCCCCCCTCACCAGCTCTTCTCTCTGCCAGTTGGAGAGGAGATTGAGATGACGCCCATGGTGTTTGCAAAGGGTTTGGCTGACGCAGGCTACTGGGGGGATAAGCTCTTCGGGCGCGTGGTGAGCGAGGACACGGAAGTGGGTGCTGGTTTCCTGCGCAAAGCCTGTCGTGCCAGAGCCATCTATGGCCTGGAGCCCATCTTTGAGTCTGGCCACACCTGCGTCATCAAAGTGCACAATTTCATTGTCTTTGGGACCAAGAACGAGAACAGCCTCATCGAGAAGAACTACGATATCACCATCCAGGTGGGCATCATTATAAGGCACTATCCACCTCTCCTCCCTGACCCTCCTTGTCTGTGTGTGGGTTGGTCCCCAGTTCTGTGCCCACTTTTACTATTCCCTTCCACTTTTGGAGACATGTTCCAGTGGGCTGGACATGTCCTTGTCATCCTTGGCTTCAGCTCTGCTCTCTGAGCAACAGGGAGCTGCTTGGAGCTTTTCCTTGTCCTTTGACCACCAGAACAGGGAAGCAAACAACTGGCAGTGGTCCCAGGGAGGTGTTGGTGTGAGACGGGGCAGGTCCCTGACCCTTCTGTTTGCATCTCCAGGAATGTAAAGTCCAGAACTCCAGCCGTGAGTACTGCAAGATATTTGCTGCTGAGGCACGAGCTGTCCCTGATTTTGGAGCGGTGCCCGAGTAAGTAAGGTGCTGCTGCTCCACTGGCTTGGCACCCTGGCAGAGTATCCCAGGGGATGGTGGGAGGGTTCCCCACGGTGCTGGCGACGTCCCAAAGGGCTACGTGCTCTTCTCCCACCCTCAGACGGAAGGGATACTGTGGGGGAGGCAAAAGCCAAGGTTGCAGACCATGGTGTGAGCCTCTACTTGCTGCAGTGGGAGAGCTCACCGTGCTGACCCTGTCCATGTGCTCCCACACAGGATAATTCCTCTGTACCTGATTTACCGACCAGCCAACAACATCCCATACGCCACAATGGAGGAGGACCTGGGTGGGCCCTGTGAGCAGTACTGTGTCACTGACAGAGATGGCAGCTTGGTGGCACGAGGCACCTCGGAGATCGTGCTCAAATGCTGCACCTTCCAGCATTGGGTCTACCAGTGGACAAATGGAAACATCCTTGTGACTGATATGGAAGGTAAAGGGATCTCCCTTCTGATTCCTATGGCCCTTCAACCACCTTCTGGGCCGGGAAAGTAGGAAGAGAAGCCCCAGCCTTACCCTCCTGCCTCTCTCCCTACATGCCATGGAGCCCAGCAACCAGGACAATGACCTGCCCTTGGTGCTGGTGTCCATCCTTCTCTGTGCAAGATGAGTTGTCCTCACTCTCCTTGCAGGAGTGGGCTGGAAGTTGACCAACGTGCGGATCGCTACCAACCTGAAAGGGTGAGTGACCCTGAGTTGCTGGGGCAGGGTGGCCCTGGCTGTCCCCAGCTCTGCTGCTCATCTGGTAAAGGGCTGTGGTGCTGAGTGTGGTTGGGCTCTGTCCTTGGCTCCCTGCTCCAGTGGAATATCTTCTGGTGCAAAGCAGGGGCTGAGGGTGGCTGTGTTGGCAGGTACCAGGGGCTGAAGGAGAGCTGCTTCCCCTCCCTGCTGGAGCAATTCCCAGCTGCTCACCGGTGCAACCGTTACTGCAGCATCCTGGGCCTAAAGACGCTGGAGCCAGCCAAGCCCAAGGGTTCCAAGAGCCCCTGCATGGGCAGGAAATCTGCCCAGTCCAGCCCCCAGCTCCAGAAGAAGATGCTGGCCAGTCCCCAGGGCACCCGCAAGGCTTCTGTGAGCCCCAAGAGCTCCCGGAGAGCCACAGAAGCAGGAGAAACCCTGGCAGCCTCCAAACCCAGGTCAGGAGAGAGCAGCAGGGCTGGCCACCCGCAGTAGCTGGGGCCGCTGGGACCCCAACCTGAGCTGCCAGCACCAGCACACGACCAGGCTGGGAAGGGGAGACCCTGGGCAAGAGTCACTGCCTCTGCTCCCCTCCCACCGGCCCACGGTGCTCGCAGTGTGGTGTGTGCTAGTGTAGGTGGCTCAGCTGGGGTCCTGGGGGGCTGTGAGCCGTGGGCAGCGTGGGCCCCTCTCCAATACCTCTCTGCAAGAGCTACTGCTGCTGGTGGAGCCCGTGGGGCCACGTGCCCCTCCACGCTGGGACTCGCTTTCTTCTCTTGACTGTCTCTGTTTGCCTTCCTTTAAGGCAGGGGCTGTCAGAGCTGCTCCCTCAGGTTTTGCAGGCACCCTGCCCCTGCCTGGCTCCCTTGAGTGTACTGGGAGTCCAGGCTGCCCTCCTGGCTCCCAGCACCTCATGTCCTTCTCTGTGTCCTCCACAAAGTGACCAGGCCAAGCCCTGCCAGCACTCTGTCAAGGATGAGAACCCCAGCGGTGCCCAGGCTGTCCCATTTGCCCTGGCACACTGGTTTTGCTGCAGAGGGGTTCAGCTGTGGCTGCAGGGCTCCTCTGCTGTAGTGTGGGGCTCTGGGGTGCAGGCCAGTCCCATGGTGGGGTGCTGGCACCAGTGCCAGCAGCCACACAGGGATAGAATTTTGCCCCCCAGCCCTTTGCCGGGTGGCTGCTGGGGACAGCAGTGCTGCTATGGGTGTTGGCCAGCGTACAGTAAGGATGCTCTACCTCACATGGGACACCCAGGAGCAGGGTGAAGGGGTGATGTCCCCTCCATGCCAGGCTCTGCTTTGGCACACGTGGGTGCCCAGCCCACAGGACTTGCCCCTCCTTGCCCCCTGCCCTACACAGACCCCATACACCCTGCCCAGCCCCATAGCATGACCTGGTCATGCTTGCTTAGTATCACCCCGGCTTGGCTCCTGCTGGACCCCAGTGGGAACTGGCAGCACCCCTCCACATCCTACTGCCCTGTGGTGGGAGGCAGTGATAGACAGACAGTGATGCTCATGCTGGAAAGTAAAGCACCCTGTGCTGCATCAAGCCTCCCTTGTGCCTGTCAGCTCACCCAGGCGTGCAGCAGGTGGCAGAGCATGGCAGTGGGCAGCAAAGCTCGCAGGGAGCCCAGTGCTGCCTGCTCATCCTGCCACAAAGCATCACTCCCCTGGGGCTTTGGAGGAGGGGGCTGAGCCCCAGCGATGCCACCCTGCATGGCAGAGTCCCAAAGAGTGGCTCAGCACAGCCTGGTGGAGGGAAGGGGCTGGGCTGAGAATGTGGCAGGCTCTGGGGTCCTGGTCCTTTGTTGCTGGGTGATTGTAAAATACTGATGTACATAAGGTGGCCACATTGGCAACTGGGTGCTCTCGAGTGCAATAAAGTGGGAAGGACTGGCCTGTTCTCCGGCGCTGTGGTCCCTGCAGGAAGGATGTTCTCAAGCATGGTGGGACAGGGTGGGTTTGTGTTCAGGGGAGGGAAACATCTTCAAGTGATGTCTTTACCCCCATCCACACACGGTGGGGGAGAAGAGGGTGGCCCGGGCCAGATCCTAAAGCTGGCAGCTGGTGGAGGCTTGGCTTGTGAGTTCTGCAGGGAGCACGGGGTGCAGCCTCAGCAAAGGACTTGGTGCCATGCGTGACAGTCACAATCCAGGGCCAGAGGGGGTCTGAGGGCAAGCCATAATTTATTTGGGAGCAGCTCCCTTGTGTCCGTGGGGCAGGCACCTAAGGGTGCTGGTTGCAAGGTGCATGCAGCTGTCTGTCAGCACTGGAGTGGAGAAGATCAAATGCTCAAGTCTGTGTTGGGGTTTTTTCTACCTCTGGGGTCAGGTCTTGCAGGCCCTGGTGTTCCCAAGGCTCTAGGCTGTGCAGATCGTGCGGTTGTAGTGCCCACAGCACTCTGCCAGCCACAGCTCACTCTGCTCCTGCCCAGTCCAGGGCCCTGTGAAGGAGTGTGTCCCGTTCACGAGCACTGAGCTGGAAGGAGAGACACATGGTCAGGACAAGCTGCTGCCCAACCACCTGGGTCCCTGGGCAGAACCAGACAGCTCTGAGGCCCCTCACACCCACCTGGCAAAGAGCTCATTGCAGCAGGTGTACATGGTGTAGCTGGTAGAGCTGAAGTTGGCATAGCTGAAGAATTTCACGCAGTCACCCACCTCCTTTGGCACGTAGAGAAGACCTGCAGGACAAGGTCTTCTGTTGGGACTGGTGAGGGACCATGGATGCAAATCCTGTACCTGGGACTGTGCAGATCCCATATGCCATCCCACCTCATCCCAGAGACAGTGATCCCAGGGAACTCCTTGCAGTACTCCAGGAGTTTCCCTTGAAATTTCCCCATCCCAGCCCAGATGAGGATGAGGGACCCCAGGAGAGCTGTTGAGGTTGATCAGCCCTTGACAGAGCCATGGGGAGGACAGGCCAGAAGCCCCATCCCTGACCATGCATTTAGAGGTGTCTTCAGCTCTGTGCCTGTCCCTCCCTGATTCCTTCTGGCCCTGGGGCAGGGACCTACCTGCCAGACAGGCATTGAGCATGGAGACACAGATGCCAGTGAGCAGGGCTCGCAGCACCACGGAGGCAAGGTCACCCTTGCGCTGGGGGACCATGGAGGCTGTGGGGGCAAAACAGACTGAGGTGAGTCAGGTCCTTCCTCCCACTCTACCCTGGGCTGGGACAGATAGAGGACATGTCCTCAGTCCCCAGATGCCACTGCTCCATTGTGCCCTGCCCACGCCAACCTCTGGTGTCTGGAGACAGGGTGATCCCAGCCAGCACCCAGCACACTGTCTGCCCCTCCAGGCAGCCATGGGTGCTGGCAGAGTGCTGTGCCCACCCTGCACCCATGGGTGCATTCAGTGCTCTCAACACTGGAGTCTCTGCTCTTTGCCCCATGGCTGGGTGGCACACAGGCTTGTGGGACATGCATGTGCTCTTGGCCATGGATACAGTGCAAAATCATCACCTCATGCTAATCCTGTTTCTTACCAGTGTGCTGACAGAGACCAGACATGGAGGGTTGAGGGCAGCAGATTCCTCCTGCCTCAGCTGAGCCCTTGCTCACTGGCCCAGGATCCCCCTGCCTCATGCCCAGGCACATAGGGCACAGGTCACACTCACCCAGGCCTCCCAACATGATTCCAATGGAGCTGAGGTTGGCAAATCCACAGAGGGCAAAGGTGGTGATGCTCTCGGCTCGCTCCTGGAGGGCACAGAAGCAGGGGACAGTCACCTCCATACAGGAGCAGACCCAGAGCACCCAGAGCTGAGCACCATGTTAGAGCTGCCAGCCCAGACAGGTTTGATGGAAATAAGTCCCCCACCCCAACCCTTTCTCTTTCAGCTATATTTGGGAGCAAGGATGATGGTGATAGGCAGCCTGCCCCTGGGAGAGCCTGGGCTGGAGGGACAGGGAGGCCTGGAGCACCATGATCTGTCACATCAAGGAGTTGGATAAATGGGAAAGGGCTTCACCAACTCCTTCAGGGTGATCCTATACCCAGCAGTTAGTGAACATCCAAGTCTAGGTGGCTGTAGGTACCTTTCCACCCCCACCACCATCATCCTGACTCAATCTTAGAGGACTTTTCAACTTCAATGATTCTATGATCCCTCTGCCTGCCCACCACCCATCTGCCTGGCCAGGTCCCATGCCCCATTCCAGCTAGCTCCATCCCTGCCCTTTGCCCAGCAGGGTGGGCAGGTGCCCCTCACAGATATCCACTGCTTCTGGCTCCCATTCCACTCCTCCAGGCCTGCCAGACGGTTCTTCTTGTACGTGGACAGCTTCTGGTATGCCACAAACTCATTCAGGAAGATCTTGATCCCCAGGAGCTCAGCCACCACCGGCGAGTCTGCCCAGTCTGCCCCCATAAGAAAGGCCACGGGCATGAGCACATAGGAGCAGATCACCTGGAAAAAAAGCACCCCAGAAGGGAACAACTCAGAGCTGACCTTATGCAGCGTTCCCAGCTTGGACACCCACTGCCAGCACTTGCCAAACACCCAGCAAGCGTCTCTGCAGCCTACTGAGGCAATGGGCAAAGGTGGGGGTGAGTGGGAGATGCAGGATCTGGAAGCCCAGACCATGGGGCTGCCCTTGGGGATACCTGGAAGGTGAGACCCTCGATGTCCACCATCTCCCCGAACCAGCGCAGAGCAGCGTTGATGAACTCCAGCACCGCCAAGAAGGCAATGAGGTTGGCTGCAATGTTGGCCACGAGGCCCACAGAGGCAGCTGCCCCATTGCTGGCAGCTTCCAGGATATTCTGCTCTTCCCTGCATTGAAAAAGACCCCAGTGTACTCATAGAGCCAGATCAGCTCTCACTGCATGGAGGTTTGCACACCACAGGCTCTGCCAGCCTCGGGCCACCTGTGATGTCCACTTGTGCCCCGAATGGCAGTGGCAGGACAGGTGGAGCCCCACTCCACCAGCCCTCTCCACACTCACCCACTGGAGAGACGGATGCTTGCCTTGCCCTTGAACTTGGACTGCTCCACTTCGGGGTAGACGAGTTTGGACATGGCGAGGGCGCAGGGCGCAGCCATCACGGAGGCCGCGATCAGCGACGCCGCGTCGATCTGCAGCGTGCAGACCAGGGGCTCAGGCACCTCCACGAGGCTGTGCCCCACGACCTGCCACCCCAGGGCATCGGCCACTTGCACTCAGACCAGTTCAGGGCTCTCCATTTGCTCAGGGTGGGGAAATGGGCTGGTTTTTCCCCGTGTGCATAGGGCAGCTCTCCTGGCAGCTCTCCTGGATGGAGGCATTCTTGGAGCTGCAGCAATCCTGCCCTCAGGGATGTGAATCTCTCCTGCTGTTTGACCTAATCATGATGGTTCTTTTCCCTTCCTTGTCCCTTCTTTGCTGGTATCAGAGCAACAGGGCGTGTAACATTGCGACATTCTACCTGCTGACAAAGCTCCCAGCCTTACCCCTCCCCTGGGAATGTCTCATTTCTCTGACATTCCACCCTGGGTTCTCTGTTTAAGGAGACTAATTAATGTTTAAATAGCAGGAGCTCAGGCAGCAGGTCAAGGGGAATGGTTTATTCCCCATTACAGGGCACTGATGAACTGGAGAGGGCATCCCCATGGGGTTGGGGCCAGGAACACTGAGACAAGGCTGGAGGAGCAGGGCTTGTTCAGCTGGGAGAAAAGAGGGCTGTGGTGGAGGGGAGTATTGATGTTTCTGACTACTTGAAGGGGGGTTGGAGGGAAGACACTGCTCAGTGGTGCCCAGTGAAAGGGTGAAAAATCACCAGCACAGTTTAAGTGGGGAAATTCCAGTTGGATATAAGGAAAAAATTGTTCCTTGTGACCAAGGCACCTATGCAGGTGCAGGAGATCTCCACCCATGGTAATGTTCACCATCAACCTGGACAAGGCCCTGGGCATCCTCTGGGGTTTAGGCATAACCTCATTAGGGCAGGAGGGTGGATCAGAGTCCCCCAGAGAGTCCTACCAGGCTAAATTATCCCATAATTCAGTGGGATTTGCCCTGCTCACTGTGCAGAAACACATGGCGAGGGCTCCATGGCACTGCCTTGTACCTGGCAGGGCTCTGAGATTCTGGCCAGGCCAGCAAAGGTGAGGCTGGACAAGGTGTCTTTAGAGCAAAGTGAGGCTGGACATCCTGCCCTCATCCTGCTGATGGAAGGGGGCCATGGGGCACCTGCTGGGGGTCTTCTCCCACCCGCAAGCCCGGGGCAGTTCTTCCGAGCCAGGACCCTGCAGTAGGGAGCACATGGCACACTCACCCCAAAGGATATGTAGGCACCCATCACACTGCCTGCGATGGTGGAAAAGCCACCAGTCATCACAGCATGGATTTCTGACAGGGTCATGTCTGCGAGGTACGGGCGGATGAGCAGTGGTGCTTCAGTCTGCAGGAGAGAAAACCCTGCTGTTCTTGAGATGGGGCCACACAGGTCTCCTAGGAAGGGAGGAAAAGACCCTTCCAAAGGAAGAGAAGACCTTTTCTCCAGGGCAGTCTAAGCTGCAAGCACCAAGGAGCTGTATCTCCTGTCCAGGACCTTACCTGTCCGACAAAAATGTTCCCTGCCACACTCAGGGTCTCAGTGGGAGTTGTGCCCAATGAGACCTGAAGTATCCAGGAGATCTGGGGAAAGACAAAGGCACCACGTTGACAGAGGCTCCTGACACCCTGCCAACATCCTTGTGCAGCAGGGCACTCTTTGGCTCCTCAGACTGCACGGAGGTGATCTTGGAAAGCAACCCCAGACCAAGCAGAAACATCAGGTCTAGGGTTGGGCTTTCTCAGGAGGACATGCAACAAAGAGGGGGTTTGTGTCTATTCTTTTAAGCAGGACAAATCACCCCAAATTAGTACCATGACAATTTTCCTGGGGCATCCCATAGTAGTCAGAAAACCTACCAGGTTCTTCCCCTTTCCACAGCCATCCCAGAACCAAAGTGAGGCCCTACCTTGAGAATGAGCCACTGCATGACGCCGAGATAGTAGAGGATGGACATCACACAACTGAAGAAAACAATGATGGGCAGGCTCTGCAGGAAAGGCAGCAGGGAAGGGGGTTAAAGGAGAGCTGACCCACACATCCAGACACACCTGGGGACCAAGCCCCTCTGTCCCATGAGCTGGGCATTGGCATGGTGTTGCACAGCCAGCCCATGCTATTGGAGTGCTACAACACTAGGCCAGGCTGGCAGGAGGGACAGAACCAGTGCCAATCCCCCATGGGATTGAGGAGGACCACAGATGGATGCAAAGCTGAGGGAGACCCATCTCTGAGATGCTTGAGCTCTGCTGCAGCAGATCTGGCTGCATTTAGATCTGTGCTGTCCAGGACCCAACAAGGAGCCAGAGCAGAAGAAAACCCATTCCCCAGCTGACCTGGAAGGCAAAGACTTCTTCAATGAGTTCGTTCCCAAAGACGAAGCTGGAGCCAGCTTTGGTGTAGCCCAGGAAGTACTGCAAGGGAAGAAGTTAGATGGTAGGACAGAGATCTCCATTAGCTCCATCCCTGACATCTCAATTCTGCCTAGCTATACCTCCAGTCCCACAGCTCACTTCACTGCTCACCAGAGAATGGCCCTCAAAACCTAAGCTGGGGACACTGGTGGGTTGTCCCAAAGTCACAGAGCTCTACTACAGCCTGCAAAGGAGACCACACTGAGGGGTCTGGGCTGCTGCAGAAAACCAAGGAAGAGCTGGCTTTCCTCCATTCCCAAACAAAAATGTTTGTGTCTGTGCAGTCCCTGCCACATCCCCACTCCATGCCACCCTCTGCTCTTCCTGCTAATCCCAGGGTGCAAGCACAGCACAGGATGAATAGATGCAGTACCTGGATCTGGTCACCCAGCCACTGGAAAGCTTGGGTGCCAGGGGTTGTTCGGATGACGAAGAGCCCAAGTAAGAACTCCAAGCCAAGACCCCAGAAAACAGCTCTCCAGGACACCTGGAGACAAAAAGCAGAACAAGGACTGAGATACTGTCAAGGCCTACAGACTTCCCTCTCTGGCTTCTGGCCAGTGTGACAGCTGCATGTGGCAAACACCACACACTGTGCCCTGGGTGAGGGTCATGGGGAGACCAATAAAGTGTCACAGAAATCCACAAACATGGATTGGTGGCAGAGGAAGATAAATTGGTGGATCTCTGGTACTGGCTGGAATATAACTCATCAGTTTGGCTCAGGAGGAGGTGAGCACAGAGACCTCCTGCTGGTTTGACTGGCAGCACAGACCTGCTGGATCAAAACTGCCTGTTCATTAACCCTCAGGAGGAGGAGGAGGAGGGAGGGTTTGCTCCAAACATTGAAGCAGGTTGGGCTGGAAGTCACTGGGACTTCAGTCACTTCTGACCAAGACCCCCAAGGCACCTGAAGCTTAGGCCCATCCTCCACCCACAGCAGGTGTGTCTGGTGCTGGGTCTCTGGGTCTGACCCACTCCGAGGGACACGGTGGAAAATAGGATGGAGGAACCATGGGGGTGCTCGGGGTTGGGAAGGTGGAAGGGGAGCAGGGGGAAGGAGAGCAGTGAGCTAAATTTGGGGTCCATCCACCCAGGCAGTTCAGCTGCCCAGGCTGTTCCCAGCTTAGCCCAGAAGCTCTGCTGGGCTTCTGCTTCCTCCACAGAAGGGGATCCTCCCCACCAGGGGATGCCTGTGGGAAGGAAGCACTTGTCCCCCACTGCTCGATGGTCACCTCCTGCCAGAGGACTGATTGTCAAGCCACACCGCCGTGGTGCTTGGAGCAGGCAAACAGGAACAGCACCAAAAAGCAGAAACCACCGAATGAGATGAGCTGCTCTGGGTTTTTGGCATTGTCCAAAATTAGCCAGGCTAACAGGCCTCCCAGGAGGCCTCCATACAGCAGCCTGTGAAGGAAACCCCAGACTGTCACCGAGAGGACGTCCCTGTGAGCTCCCTGATGGTGTGGGAGATGCCACTGTAAAGTGGCATCTGAAGAAACCTGGGGCTCAGACACAGACAAGGGGTGTGAACAGCCATCACGGTACCGAGGCAGAGCAGCAAGACATTTCTGCCATGGCTTTTACATGGTCCCCAGCCTGGGCCATGCCTCATCATTTGTCAGGTGCCTGCATGGCACTAGGGCACACGTTCAATGCCACCAGCTCTGGTCGCACTGGCAGGGCAGCCACAGGGAAGGGACCTGGGCACTGGGCAGGATCTGGCCCTGCCTTCTCCTGACTCACCATTTCAGCCACGGCCAGAGCTTTTGGAAGCATTTCCCAATGGGGTGGAGGAGCAGCAGTACCTTTGCCCCACAGTGCTTCTTGAAGAAGCTCCAGCAGATGAAGAAAACAGCCACAGCAGTCATGACCACCAAGGCAAGGGCTCGCTGGAAGTTGAGGTAGCAGGCCGCAATGAAGTAGCACAGATAGGCTGGAGAAGGAACATTTGGGGTCAGAAACATTGAGACTGTAGAATCATGGGTTCATAACAATGACTGGAGTCAACAAGGAGGTTCATTTCCTCCAAATGTCCTTCCCTGGCCACCCTTGAGGCTCCCATCTCTGTGTGAGAAGAACTTAGGGAGCACCACCCCAGCAGCAAGCAGAAGGGACACAGTAAACTCTTTGGGTAGGAGGAGAAAGAGGAGGAGGACAGTGAGGTGCAGGTAGTCCTGGACAGGAGTGTTAGAATGAGGAGGGGACAGGCAACCTCCACACAGGTGACCATGCTCAGTACATGGGGCCTGGGGGCACAGTCAGCCAAAGGGATATGGAAGTGAGGTCTCAGTTCTGGGAAGTTCTCACCTACTCCAAGGAGTGCCAGGACAATCCTTCTCAACACCTTGGCATGAGCCTTGCAGAATTGCTTTGCCTTGGATGCTGGCTGCAGGACCTTCCTGAGGAGAGTCACATGCCAGAGATGTGAGACACACAGAAGATGGATGTGGAAGTGCAACCCAACCCAAACCAACCCAACTGAAACCAACTCAACAGAGCCAGGTCATGACCATGCCTCCCACAGCACACTTCCAGCAGCAGCATGGTGGCACAGGTGTGCTGTGGTCCACACACCCCAACACCCTGGGCACCTTGAGTGGGGGCTGGCTCTGAGTTGCTGCTACGGGGACAGAGACCTGCAGGCCACATGGAGACATCAGACATTGTGCCCCTGTATGGTCAATATGACCCTACTCTGCTTCCAAATCAGGTTTGTGTCTGGCTGAGCACACACATCTGTGGGGGTTATCCTACCTGCGGTAGGAGGAGAATCTTCCTTTCCTTTCTCCTGTCCTCTCCTCTTTGCTCTCACCATGTGGACCATCACATTCCTCATAGGGATTCTCCTAGGAAACATCATTACCTGGAGCACCCTGTACTGGGAAGGGAAGGGGAAGGGGAAGGGGAAGGGGAAGGGGAAGGGGAAGGGGAAAGGGAAGGGGAAGGGGAAGGAAAGGGAAGGAAGAGAAAGGAAAGGAAGGGAAAGGAAAGGAAGGGAAAGGAAAGGAAGGGAAAGGAAAGGAAGGGCAGGTGAACTCACCTCAGACCTGAAAGCTGGGTTATCTGTGCCTGTCTCAAGGCTGTCCAAGTTTATCTGGTTTCCTTCCATCTCCTAAAGTTCTGCAGCTTCAATGCATTAGAGAAACAGCACTAGGAGGGACCAACATTGGCTGGGGAGAGAAAGACAGGACAAATGTCCAATCCTGCTTTTCAGTTTTGGGTCTCTGAGAGGAGAACAGCCTTTGCAGCAAGGATTCAGAGCAGCTCTTACACCAGCAAGCACATCAAGGGACCATGTCATGGGGTCCTCAGGCCATGAGGCTTGTGTGCTGACTTCCTTGTTCTCCTGTAACTCTGGGGAGACCTTTGTTCTTCCATGCTTCCAAGGAATTACAGGAGAGTATTAGATGCAGCAGGGAGAACTGGCACTCCTACTCCAAGTTGGTGGCAGTGGCCACCAGCCCCCGTGAGCCCCTGTGCAAGTGGGATTTCTCAAAAAATAAATCTGGCTGCATCCCTCATCAAAAAGTCTTGGTGCAGCTGAGTAAGATAAGGAAGAAGGCCCTTTCATGTTGATAACTAGCGCAGTGCAGGAGTGTGGGGTAGGAATAAGTGGTAGTTTGCATGGGGACTGGTCCTAAAGGAGGATGATACTGGGAGAACCAGTCCAGCAAAGCTGGAAGAACCAGTGTTATGCCAGGGCAGAAAATCTTGGAGCATCTTTCCATTTGGGCACTCTCCCAGT